GTTAAAGTAGGTCTCCGGTAAACTGGGAGAAGAGCAGAGTAAACTTTATAGTTACCTACACAATCTGTATATGATATCAATAAAAACATGTCGTCAGATTATATTTGTAAGGATCATTGTTGCCGTTTCCATAGACATCAGCGTGCATTTTACAAACTGTAAATGTATGATTTTGCTAGTACTTATGTGTATTTAAATGTCTGAAACCTAAAATAAGTATTATATGGTTGAAAACAATGAATATTTGTGATAATATGACAAGCGCTCAGCGCGTCCGATCTGGCTCGCGCCAGCCGGAGCGGATTTAAATTCAGCAGTTGATGACGTGACGCACTGAAAGTTCTAATCACACCGGTGTGATCGTACGCTTCAAAGGGTTAAGCTATTTAAAAGCGACGGAAAGCGAGGAAAAGAGGGAAAATTCAAAAGAACTAAAAACGAACAATTGCTTTACGCCGAATTGCCGCTAATTCAAAAGTGAAAGTAAAATGCGCACGGCGCTTTTAAGCTATTTAAAAGCGAAGGAAAGCGAGGAAAAGAGGGAAAATTCAAACGAACTAAAAACTAACAATTGCTTTGCGCTGAATTGCCGCTACTTCAAAGTGAAAGTAAAATGCGCACACCGCTTTTACAAGCTATTTAAAAGCGAAGGAAAGCGAGGAAAGGAGGGAACGCCCCGCCCCCACGGTGATACCGGTATTATTGGTGTTGTCACACGTCGATTAACCGGTGGGAAAATCTCCTCACCGTCACAACCCTACTTTTAAGTACAAATGTGCTTTCTGAACACTTTGTATGCTGTTCTCAGTACATCGGGCAAGCAAAGTGTAATGCATGGATGGAGACAACTATAATTCACAAATTTCTCTTTCCTCCCTTTTCACTCCTGCCTGCCAATGGTTTTTTTCTTAGAGATATATTATTCACACGTTTTGATTTATATTCTACAGACATGCAATAAAAAACCTTGCCTCTTGTTAAAAGAGCTGGAGAGAAGCCAGAGGTTTAATGAATCCAGTCTACTCCACTGAAGGGGAATTGCAAGCCCTAGGCACAGTTAGATTACATTTTCACTCCCCTAGGGGAACTATGAGGATGACTCACATTCTGCCTGCTACCACCCACCTCCATGAATTAACTCGATGCTTCAAAGAGCTAGTTTGTTGTACTTAAACAGAGAAATATGACATACATCCCACCTAAGTGTACATCTGTGTTGATTTCAAAGAACAGATTTAGATAAGCATGTTTTGACAGAATTGCTTTTTTATGGCAGTCACATTTTTTGCCAGTGGCACTGTAGCTAGCATGCAATAAATTGCAGCAAAATGGGGGTTTTATATGCTCAAATTTGCATTTAAGGTCACATCTCATTTACGATTAATTAGTTCTATTTGCTACGGATTCACGGCATGACGACAACACCTTTTTTATAATAAGGCTATTAATCATTGTGATGGGAGTGTCTAGTTTGGAGCAGATGTTTTTCCATAAAAGCATTACATCATGTTGCCTAACTTTACTATGTCCCAATCAAAGCTACAAAACAATCAATGTAACACGTATGTCTATGTGTGTGTAGACAGATAGATGGATAGATTGAACACATATGATTTTAATTTTAGCAATTAATTCTGTCTGGGTTCTCATAGGTACATTCCACAAAGAATAAGGTGATGTAAAATGCTAAATAAACGTCTTCATTAGAAACATCCCCCAGGCTTTTGAAAGTAATTCATCATACATCAGTGAACACACATGGTACAGATTGAAATTCTGACGGGGCTCTCAATGTACAGATCTTTCAACTCTCTAAACCCTCTTTAAGTAAGGCAGACTTTAACGTAAAACTTAATGCCACTCATTTGCTAGCACAGGAATTACACAAAGGATTTCCCTTTTATCGTACTGGTATAGCGTTTCATCTTTCTTTACACTGCATACAAGTTATGCTCCTACTTAGACTCCAGCAAGCAAGAAAACCCCTATTAAAACCATTACTAATGCCAGTGCATGATGGGTTTTCAAGCAGGTCTGCACCCACATTTGCTTAACGTAGATTTCGTGTATTAAATGAGTAGCTTGCCTTGAAAGTCGACTAGAGAATTTGCAGGGGCAAAAAATGTGATCTAACACCACTGTATTTTTTTGTAAATCGCTTACCTTTGAACTGTGGAATTCGGTTGCCATGGCAACAGGAAGTAGGCCTCCACTACCGTGTAGAGTGGAGCTCTGGGGACAGCGGTGAGGCAAGTCCATAAATTGCTGCCTCTAATGAAAACATTGTGCACAGGATGCAGGTAGAGATTTCAGGGAATAAATTAGTTGTGACACTCCTTTTGAAAATGGATGTCTCTGTCCAATGATTTGTTGGCACTTGGGAAGAGTCTGCAAGTTTCCCAGTGATAAACTGAGGCCAGAGAGGGAAGAGCTCATTTTAGTCAGGCACACATTTTACTTTATTGAAACCAAATGGGCTGAAAGAGCCCATGCACAGCTGGTTAGTGACCCATGCACCCATTTTTTGTTTGTTTTGTTTTAACTTGCATCCAAAATAGCCCTGGTGAGCTTCAATTTAATAATATTCATCGCTAAAACTGAAATGCATCGTTTAGAAAGTGTGGTTGCTGTTTGATTTAACGATGCTCTTAAATGCTAAACGAGAGATTTGATGATGGATTATGAATTATGGCGCATATCATGTTTTTGGGTTTGCACAGGTGCACTCTTAAGGCAGTCTTAAGAGAAACCTGGAAATGTATAGAACGCCCATGATCTCGAACATCTTCCACAATTACAGCTCTTGTTTGTTTTCATGGAGACCTACCAGATGGAGTGGCAATCAACAAGAAAAGAGAAAAAGAGACCTCTCCAGAGATATGAAAAGAGTGCAGGAGAGATCTTAGATGTGGAACACACATTTTAGGCAGCTTTAGGCTGTCTGAACTCATTTCAAACAAGGCTGCCAGAAACCCAGCATTTCCTCTGATCTGGGCTTCCTTCCAAAGCTCCAACGTGAAGTGTAGAGGCAGTAAATTAATCACAAATGTATCTGAGGCCTCATAGTTTATTACTCGCATTTACAGACGCATCTATTCACTGTGAATATGAGCACTGACTATATTCACTGATAGACTGATAAGTGGGAGGTTCCTGATGTTTCCTTATTATGTGCATGGATGCAGTTATCCACATGTCTAGTGTTAAGTGAGCTGTTGCTTCACAAGCTTCTCCTCTCGTGGGGCATTTTTCACGTGTTCGCTTATTAACGCTTCGCTGTTAGACTGACAGCCGTTAATGATAAACGGCATGACTCAACAAGCTTGGCTGTATCAATTGCTATCAGATCTCTGTATATACAGGAATATTTATACACCAGCTAGTACAAATTAGAGTGTTGACACACTGGATTGTCACATCATTAAGCACAGAAAGTTTGTGCTGCATACGTCATGACTCACTCTGAGGTCTTGAGTTTACTTTAGAAATATCACTGCTTCAGCTAGTGAGATGATGTGCAAATCAATTATATTCTAACAAACGACTGACCAAATGTTTACCAGACTGGCTTAGCACATTTTTCACAATCAGTGTCTCGCTGTAGCCAGGGATGGGAACCATGAACAATTTCATTATTCCAGTTTTGATTCCTCTTTAACGATTCCAGTTCCTTAATAGTTCCGTTAATGATTCTTTTAGTACTTTTAGGGACTAAATATTTGGAAAAAAGAAATGCAATTCTGTTGCCAAATGATGAGATAATTGTAATAATAAATTATTTTTTTAAACATTTTGCAAAAGGACTTTTTAATGTCTTTTTAAAAGACAGGCGGTGTTAATGCAGTCCAATAATTGGCCTTAAAGGGATAGTTCACCCAAAAATTAAAATTCAGTCATTAATTACTCACCCTCATGTCGTTCCAAACCCATAAGATCTGCGTTCATCTTCAGAACACAAATTAAGATATTTTTGATGCAATCCAAGAGCTTTCTGTCCCTCCATAGAGAGCAAAACAACTAAAACGCTCAAGGCCCAGAAAGTAGTAAGGACATCATTAAAATGTTATGAAGCTATGAGAACACTTTTTGTGCGCAAAGAAAACAAAAATAATGACTTTATTCAACCATTTCTTCTGTTCCATGTCAGCTTACACCGTGCGTTCACGGCAGTACCACAAAGCATGCGAGTGCATTCCTCTGATTATCCAGGTTCTACATAACGCCGGCTTCTGCGTCAGCAGGACCACACGTATGCGTTGTGATACTCTCGTGAATGCGTATCAAAGTCTGACACAGAAGAGAAGAAATTGTTGAATAAAGTCGTTTTTTTTTCCCTTTGTGCACAAAAAATATTTTCGTAGCATCATAAAATTAAAGTTGAACCACTGATGTCACATAGACTATTTTAACAATGTCTTTACTATCTTTCTGGGCCTTGAAAGTTTCAGTTGTGTTGCTGTCTATGGATGATCAGAAAGCTCTTGGACTTCATCAAAAATATCTTAATTTGTGTTCCAAAGATGATTGGAGGTTTTACAGCTTTGGAACGACATGAAGGTGAGTAATTAATGACAGAATTAAGATTTTTGGATGAATTATCCCTTTAAGGACACACTGTCAAATGAACAACCAATTACCGATTAAAATCTCACAGGTAGCTGTCATTCATTAGGAGCAGTTTATTTGGGAGTCACAACTGTGCTGTATATTTAGTGAAGTATTAGTGATGTTGCTGTGACACTGAATACGCAGTGCAGGAAACCGCATTCCCGGAAGCAAAAACCGTTATTAAAATCCAAACAGTCAGTCACTTAGTTCTGTTGTTGTATTTTAAAGCAGAACTGTTTCTGAATAAGCTGTAGCTTGTCATTCTCATTGATTTCTTTTGTCCTTTCCTCTCCAGACCCCAGTTCCTACAAGAGGAGGCACAAGCACAAAGAAGTGGATGAGATCCAGTGTGACATGCAAAAAATGTGTGCCTTCTCCAAGATCCTCACCACCAAGAAGAACCTGGATCACGTCAACAAGATTTTGAAAGTCAAGAGGCTTCAGAGGCAGGCCAAGACGGGGAATAACATGGTGAAGAGACGCAGAGGGAGGCCGAGGAAGCAGCCGCTTTCTCTCGAGGAGGGATTCCTGGGTCAGATGCCAGTTCTAGAAAAGTGTGTGGATCTTCCTGGGAAGAAGAACCTTCACACCCGTCTGGTTCCTGCTCAGCTTGAGTTCTCCAATCACGACTCCATCACAGATGCCATCGAGTCAGTGGTACACATGGCCAGATCCCAATCCAACACACAATCCACGCAAGGAGGCAAGCACTGGCACAAAGTTCAGCCAGAGCTCCAAATCGAGCGCCCAAACCGCAAAGGAAGAGGGAAAAAGAGAGAAGAAGCTACTGTCACCTCACATTAGAGAATTCATGACGGTGCACTGGGAGTTAGCCTTGTGCTTGGGTCCTTGTATCGTTTTTTTTTTATTTTTTTTATCTGAATTCTACTGACACATTTTAATGGGCATTCGCTGAGAATTTGGATCATGGTTGTGGTCTAAAAGCTCCGCTTTCGGTTTGAACAATTCTATTACATACTTTTTTATTGGTCTCAAGGAGACAAACTGAACATTTACTCTCCCAAAGCCCATAAGCATGAGGATGTTGAAACTATGGCTTTAGCCATAATCTACCAGCACATGTAAATGAACTTCAATGACAGTACTGTGCACTTTTTTCTTTCTCGTTTTTCGTTTCACTCAAGCACAAAGCACAGATCTTCTGGCAGAGGTTGATTTCGAACAACAGGTCACCAGTAACTCACTGCTAACACACACGCTTACATAGGCTTGCCTGCGCTCAGGTGTGTTTCAGGCATGAACTAATGGCAATACTTTTGGATGAAACCCTTTTCAGTGATGTTTTGATGGCTATCAGTTGACTGTACATAGAAACATATTCTACTAACATTTCAAATTCAAAGTATTTTAGATCTACCTATACTGTCAGCATATCAAATCAAAAACCATATAAAGTGTGAAATGTTGTTTTGTTCTGTTTTTAACCAAATAGATGTAGAAAGCTTCTTCAAATAGAAAAAAAAAAAAAAACTATTTAGTCGTGTAATCTTAATGAAGTGGAATCACTGCAGATCGAAGGCTTGTTGACGACACAGGACATCAAAACACATCCCAGTAGTTCACAACAGGCTCGATGAAAAATGCTACGGTTGCATTTAAAACCAACAAAGCACTTATTTCTTTTCTTTCTTTTTTGTAGGAACAAGTTTGAGTGGGTTGAAGTTGTACACAGTGTCAGAGTTGGTTTTTCGCTTTAAATAATAGTGAGCATCTGGACGATATTTTCATGATCTGACTGGAAATCAAGGTCTTATTCGAGTCGCCTTCTCCAGAGTCTCTTTTGAGAATGTGCCTGCTCTTGTTAACAAAACAATAATAGTATGTCTATATATACCTGTCAGTATTAGATATCCACATGATCAAAGTTTCAGTGTAGTCGTGTATCATAGAATAGATGGGTTTCAGTTTAGCTGCTTGTGTATATTACCATGAATGGTGTGGTGGTGTGCCTGTTTGTCGATTAGTCTGTCGTTTGGATTGGAAAAATAAACCCGAATGTATGCTGGAGACTATTTAGGTGATCGTCCTGAGCATAGGACATCACAAACTAATCAGACACATGTCCTACGCTGTTTTAGATTCGAGTTACTCTGATATACACGATAGATTTGAAGGTGGTCCTAATTTGAATAGCTTTCCACTTGTTAGTTTTTTTTTTCATATATGTGCCTTATGTTTGTCTATAAATCCATAACATGGTCAGGTACTAGAACACATAATGGCAAGATATCAGTCTTGAATGTACATACATATAATTTGCTGCCCTGGTGGTAATGTGTTTATGATTTCGGTACACCTTCTACAGTATAATATGCTTAATTTGAACTATATAAATACATTTATATACACATATATACAGTTCAGTGACCAGACACCACATCTAGTACACCTGAAGACGCTCAAAATTTCTCTCTAACCAAACCCCCGCAGGGTTTTTGACATGAATACATGCTTATTTACTATGCATCAGGTTATTGCTGTGAATCCACTGACGCATAACTTTCTAGCATCAACTCCTTTGTAAGCTTTCTGTTAAACGAAGTGGTCTTACTGAAATCTGAAGTCTGAACCGTGCTAAAACTGACTATCATTTCTTTTGCAATTGTCTAGGGGAGGAAAATCAGCCTCTAAGCAGTGCAGCCTTAATCAAATGTTCATTTCGACAAGTTGTAGTCCCCTGTAAATAGTCTACCATCTGTGGGTTGCTGTATAGCTGCGTGAATCATGCCTAAGAATCATGTCAGTATGTTGCACTCACAGTTGTCCAAAGCAGGACGTATAGAGTGGCTAAAGACACCATGAAGCATTCTGTCCTCGTGATAACTCGCAGTGCATTGAAGCTAAAAGAAACAATATATGCCGGCAGCTATTTGCCTCAGCCAGTTGTACTGGACCTTTTGTAGGATGCGTCCATTTGCGCTAAACACCTGCGAACATTGCCAAAAATGTTGACCTTTCATTAGTGCTTTAAGCACCGAAAGCTATGTTTTCAAGCAAAATGTACACCGTAGCAGTTTTCTGAAACATGATTATAATAGGTTAGTCAAACATGGCTTTGGTAACAAGGCCTGGCAGCTCAAATTTGCTCAGCTTCTATGATTTTTAAATGCCAGATATATTTTCTCCACCAGCTGATAAGTGGTGCCTTGTGAAGTTACGTGTATTTTTTTTATGTTCCTGCTCCTAAGCGACTTTGTGTCGAGTAAACATTACCGAGGTCACAGAGAGAATGTCATCATCCACTCAAACGTAGTGTTGGTATTCTAGTTTGTATTGCTATTAATGAAGTTATAATACAAGTGAAGTGTTAATCGAAAGTAATATTCCTAACAAGGACACAACAGAAGCTCTTATCGCTCTCTAAATTCATACATATGGTGTTACGACCATTTTGATTTCTGTATCTGCATGCTCTATTTGATTGTATGCATACAAATTTTGGAGAAGTCGAGAAGTATTGAATTTTGATTTGAATATGATCTTATACATTGATATGTTTTTTTTTGTAATGGATTTTAAATTCAGAAACCATTTTGTACATTGTATGGATATTAAAAACAGCAAATAATGGACATATATAGAAAAGAATAAATACTGATATACACAAACATATGCATTGTACATAGAATGTATGTATACACATTCATGTTTTGTGTAACTGTGTATACAGACATGTTTATAAATACAAGTACTAGCCTGTACATATGTACATACATATAAGCTTGCATGTGTTTGGTCATGTTTGCCGTTCATGATCTTGTAGTTTTATTTTTTTATTTCTTTTTTTTTCTTACTGTAAAGCTCATTTGTGCAGCCACCTCCGGTGAGCAGTATTGAGCACTTAAAATACAGTCGATCTTGTTCATGTCATTCATTGTGCAAAAAAATAATAAATGAATTTATCGAGAGCTCACTTCAGTGTCTTTGCCTTTTTCGCATAGTTGTTGATATTCTAGTGATACTGAGCAAACTGTTTATATTTTAGAATATTTAACACAAGTTGTACACTGTTATTCAAAAGTTTGGGCCAGCGAATTGTTTTTTTTTTGTTTTTTGAAATAAATACTTTTATTCAGCACTGATGCATTCAATTGATAAAAAATGATAGAATTTTTGTAACAAAGTAAAACTCTTTAATATTTCAAATAAATCAAACTTCAAATAGGTCAAACTTGATTAAATAATTAGTGCTGTCAAACGATTAATCGCTTCCAAAATAGAAGTTTTTGTTCACATATTATAAAACGGATAGTTCCGGATTCTGATTGGTTGAGCCGCGTTCGAAGCTGTTGTAAATTACACTACAAACATACACCTTTGTTTACTTCTGTGTGTTGCTCGGCAACCACTTTGTTGGAACCACAACTGTTTCTGAGGAACTACATTGTTTGGTGAAAGATTACTGTTTTTATT